GCCGTTTAAAATCCCCCCCCCCCCTGTGCGGCACGCGGGTGATGGGCCGCCGCCTGGGAGGAGGGCGCCGTGTGAGAGCGTGGCGCCTTGCCCCCACGTAGCGTGACCCCACGCCGGCTGTGGGGCCAGGCTCTCGCGGGCCGGGCCATCCCCGGAGGCACCCAAGCCTCTTGGGATGTCGGTGGTCACTCTGTAGGAGACCTGCTGCTGCCCCTACGAGCTCGCTGCCTCGGTCAGAGCGGGAGAGTGAGCTTGGGCCGGGGGCTGGAACCGATCCTCCCCAGCAGCCATTAGCGGTGCTGGGTCACTGGAGACCGACCGGCCCTGGCGTCTCAGTGCCCTGAGGTGTCCAGTCCCCCTAAGCACCCGCACTGCCCCCTGGGGAACAAAACATACGAAATCAGGGCCTGTCCTTTTCGGGGCTGTCGCAGGCCGGGTCTGCTCCTTCCGGGGCCTCGGCGACGTCGCCCACGTTCGCGGCTCTAGCGCCGGCGCGTTTGGAGGGGCAGCTCCCCGAGAGCAGACACATGCCACCGTGAAACGCATTTTCACTCCCGGCCAAAGGCAACGCTCTGCCATGTAGACCCTTCCCGCGGCTAAGCCAGCGTCTGTACGAACGGCCGGACTGGGTCGCACCAAAGGCCCGTCCACCCCAGTGTCCTGTCGGCCGACAGCGGCCAGCGCCAGGCGCCCCAGAGGGAAAGAACAGACCTGGGAATCGTTGCGTGGTCCCTCCTGTCGCCCATGCCCAGCCTGTGAAGAGCTTGCGAGAGGGGAAGGGGAAATAGCTCAGGGCAGACAGGCAGTGGGTGGTGTGTTATTAACCCAAATAATTATAACTCAGTTAATTTCTGGTGTGTATGTAAATGAGACACTGCATATTCATTAACTATGCAAATTAGACGGTATCCGTGGCATTAATTCTCCAGCTTTCTGGCCGCCCAGCCAGCGGTATCCGTTGTGGACAGGAGGAGCCCCGTGTACAAGTGGCCCCCGTTTTGCCTGCCTGCCTTGGGTTTTGCTCCTAGCTTGAGATACCTTTGGCCAGACTTGCAAGGGTGCTGAGGGCCCACATCCTCAGCTGTCATCGGTGGGAGAGTCGGGTGCTGAGCACGTTGGAAATCCGGCCCAGGGTGTGCCAGGCGTGGGAGTGCAGGACCCCGGGGCTTCGTCCCAGAGGGGCCGGTGCAGGAGGTGAGGGGGGATCCATTTGGGCTGGGACTGGCTGGCGTCCTTCCCCCGCTCCCTGGTACGGAGGGAAAGCTGCTGAGATCCCTGTGCCTGGGACTCGGCTCGGCTCGGTGCGTGTGGGTGTAACACCCGAGAGGGAGGGGGAGGTGGCGGCTGGGGCCAGACTTTAGGCCTGTCTGTCTGGCTCCTCATTCCCTCCCGGGGGAGCAGTGCAGGCCAGGAGCCGGTGCGATGGCCTCGCCCCGTGTGCTCGTACTGGCAGTGAGCAGGGGCGAGGGCGGGGTCACTGAGGGAGGGGATGAGAGGCAGCCAGGCCAGGCATAGCCCGACTCGGCTAGCTGTGTTCGCCCTGGCAGAGCGCGAGGGGAAATCCGTCCCAGGCAGAGAGCGTTCGGTGTCGGGGCTGTAAGGAGAGGCACCGTCCCTCCGGGATGCATTGGGCAGCTGGGCCTGCTTGGCCATGGGAGCTACTCGGCTGGCACCCGATTGCTGGGGCATTGTCGTATCGTTGCCCACAGTCGAGGGCAGGGCCTCTTCTTTGCACCCCCCTGCCCTGGGTCTGGGCCCTTGGAGGAGCTGGTGAGGTGGGGG